TTTAATCACAGAGGTAATATAATTATTTTAAGTCTTTATAGCTTAGTTATATTGTATATGAATTGTTTGGATTATAACTGAAATTTAAAAATTCGAAATGTACAAAGAGAGGTGTTCATGGCCCGATTGAACTTATAAATAGCTTACTTGAGTTGAGCTTGTTTCCAACTTGCTCATATTATTTTTATTTTTTAAAATATTTATTCTATTTTTAATTTATTATTTAATGATTTCATATGTTTTCATTTTATTAAAGATTATGGTTTACTCTTTCATAGTTTGAATAACTTAATATATTTCTTAATACTTATATTATAAAAGAAAGTTGAAACCCTAAACCCACAATTAAATATCTAACCATGATTATAAAAAATTGAGATTGGAAAGGAAAAGAAGAGGCGTGGTGGGTATATATAATTGTGTTACATGAATAATGTTGCAATGCAATGCGTAGCAATTGATTATGGATGATGGTCCGAGCTTCAATCTGTTGGGTCACCCACTCACCGCGCACTTGGCCTTTAACTCGTGAAGTTGGCGCACCTTCATTATTTTAGGGGTGGTGGTCCTCCCTTCTCTCGTCACTATGTCAGAACCATGATCTCCCATTCTTAACTTTTTTTTTAAGTATAACGTTTTACCCGTTAAAAGTATGATTGTTACTTTTTAAAGGTTCGAATTTAAGTACATTATTTATAAGGGCGTTTCAATAATTATTGTCAAATGATTAATTTTTTTAATATATACTACTTTAATTACATTTTTGAAAAGAATAAAATTTGGGTACTAAAATGGAATAAAAGTAATAGTTTAGGTATTAAACTTGTAGTTTACCAATAAAAATATTTGGGGCAAATAGAATGTAAAACAAGAGATTGAAGCAAAAGGCCATTATAATTGAAAGTTGAAACAGTAACTGCGAAGAGAAAACCTCACGTTTTTAACACAGTAATCTGAATAAAACATACAAATGAATTTAAATTACACTCAAGTCCTTATCTTAGCAAAACAGGCCAACCCCACCTGCTAAGATGGCCAAAACCACCTGCCTCCAAATTCCCAAGTTCAAGATCCTATGAGACGATGAAGTTGAAGGTGAAGGCTCTGGTGAAGAACTACTTTCTTTGGATTCTGCTGATGGAGAATCCGCTGCAACTGCAGGGCTAATATCGGTATCGGGAGCCGGGGCTGGAGCAGGAGCAGGAGTCGGAGGTATGTTGGTACCGAAGATTGCCTCGGGAAGAAGGACCTTATCGACTTGATAGATTGCGACGGGATCGGTTGAGTGTACGGCGCTGGTCACTTTTGTTTTGCTCCATCCGGAATCGAGGTGAACGGTGCCGGAATCATCGATGAAGTTCAAAGCGTATTGGCCACCAGCAAGGGTGCTAATGGTGCCTTTTGTACTGAGTTCACTGAAGTCAGAAAGGGAATAGAATTTGGGCAAGGCATGGAAAAGGATAAGTGATTTAAGTTGATCATCACTTAGATTGGACAATGAAGGCTTTCTAAGACCCTTGAAGGCATTGTCTTTTGGTACAAAAATTGTAATGCCTTGCTCAGTGTTGTTGGCTTGGTTTTGGAAGGTGTCGATGACTTTCGTTGACTCAAGGTAGCCGAGGAAAGTGTGAAATGGACCAGCCACTGAAAGTAATTCAGTGAGGTTTACATATGCCGGTGCCGGTGTTGGAGTTGGGCTCAATGCGACCGGAGCCGGTGGGCTAGTGGCTTGACCATAAACCAAGGTGGTGCACAAGAGCAATGCACAACAACTGAACACAGAAATCCTGGAAAATTCCATTTTCCACTCCCCAAATTCCTACAATAGCCAAATCCTTCACTGTTATATTGCATTTGCAGCTAAAAGGTGAACCCCCCCCCCCCAAAATGTACATGATGAACATAACACTAAAATAACGTTCACAACATCAGAATTCAGAACCCAATTTCACAATTTAGATCAGGATGTGAGGGTTCAATCTTCTATATAAAACTAGTAATGGCAACTGGTAATTAAATAAAAAATGGCAAGTGATGAAAAACCAGATATTGACAAAAAAACTCAAAACTTGATCCGAAACAATGTAATTACAGAAAATAACCATGAACTGGATTCACAAATATGATCCCTTTTCTCGTTCTTGAGCTCATTTACACAAAGTAACATTTCCAAGGGAAAAAAATGCAGAATCGACATCAACAAAAACCCGGGGGGGAAATATCTAGATTTAACTTTATATTCAATTTAAATTGAAAGAAAATGAAGCAGTATAACTTTTAGCAAGAGCAGATTTCAATGAGAGCATGCAAAGGAAGGAAATTAACCTGGGCAAGAGGAATTCAGAGAAAGTTTAGCACTTTGGGTACCGATGTTGCAGATAGGAATTAAGCTGATATGGTCTATATTAATAACGATGTGCCTTTTATATATGATGAAACAACGAAGTGAATGTGGGGAAAGAAATTATTTATATATATATATATATATATAATTATTAAAAAATTATTTTATGATTATTAAAAATTTTAAAAAAATTATTAAAAAATAACTATTGTATGTTATAAAATAATAATAGAATTTGATAAATTTAATAATTATTTTATAACAATAAATTAATATTTCAGTGTTTTGTTTTAGCCTCATTATTTTACCAAACCAGTGCTCCAAATTTAGATGGCAATAAAAAAAAGTGCTGCACAACTCAAGTCCATATTTTCCCATTTGATTTCATTTTAACTGTGAACTCCAAAAACAATTAAAAAAAAATGAATGTGAAGTAAATTTGCATCAACGTAAAATGGAAAGAAACAATTGAAATTGAAAATTATAGTAAAAGTAATAATATTTCATCAAAAAGAAAAATATATGTGAGAAAAAGATAAGGCCCAATGACCGGGGTTTTTTCGGCAGTACAAAATCATAAAATCTGAAAATGCCTTTAATATATCGGCCCAAAAATAACATTCGGTCTATACTTCACATCGAAAGCCTAAGACCTGAAAATTGATGTCCACACTTTTAGAAATGTGGTTTTTGTTTCATTATTTATTATTCTGGTGTTTTTACGAATTTTTACAGATTTTTTCAATTAATCTGGGGTAAATAATACGGTAATATATGTTCTAAGATTACTTTCAACCTCTTAACATTGAACACTCTCACCCCTAATGTTCTCGGTGCTCGAATTCGGGTCTCAAGGAACGATAACCGTTCCTTTACCACGGAAACAGCTCGGAATTTTACAGACTTTTTAGTATTGTATATTTAGAATCTGATTTTATTATATTATTGTGACATATTTAAATATTCTATAACATCGTATGAAAATATTATATGGACGCGCGCATTGTTATTAATAATGTTGAACTATATTTTCTTCAAGTAATCTAAGTGTATAAATTAAACTATTTAAAATAATATTTATATGTTTAATTCCGCTCACGAATTTATCGTAGCGTCTAAACCAAAATTAAGTGTTACATTGATAATAGTCGATAACCAAGCATGCAAAAATGCCACTAGTTATCCTAGGGAAAACAAGATACTATTACGAATGAAATTGTTCCTACAAGTGTAAAAAATCATTGTTAGGAAATTATAATCAATTAATATGAGATCGAGATAAAATAAGATGCATGCAAAAGATAAGATTTAACTCACTTTGTTCTTGTTTATTTTAATGGATGAGAGAAATAAATAATCAACTATAAACGTACATAAAATAGTTTTTATCACTCAATTACCATCTCACTATTATTTTGATCACTAAAATTTATTTTTTTTAATTTAACTATTCCACTTTCAAATTATTCCTATTTTAATAATTGTAACTTATTTTATTAATAATTTTTGTGACATAACATTTATTTTTATTATTATTTTAATATGTAATTAAAAAATTAAATTTGAAAGTTCATTGATTAAATTACAAAAATTTAAACTTTAGATATTAAAATAGGAGTTAAAAGATAATTGAGTGATGAATGATGTAATTTAACCATAAAAAGGAGACACACACAACTCACTCATTAAGTTTTTGATAGAGATACTATAACGGAATAAAAACTAAATATTAAATATGATTTTGAAATAAATGAAAGTATAGATGCTAAAATGAAACTAGATTGCATTGTGAAGGGAAGAATGTGTGAGCATGTGGCACTAGATGACACACCATAGGCTCCTTTAGAGCAGTGGAAAAAAAGCACAGATGTGACGACTTCTTCTCTTTTCCCACTAACTTTATTTTTTTAGGTGCAACACTTTAAGTGGTTCAACTACCAATCCCACGCACCCCTTTAGGATTTTGAATTTTTTTCTCATTTACACCATACATAAAACTTGCAAATTAATTTATTGAACACTCACTTTCTTCTGCTTTCAACCCTTGAATTATCTTAAAACCGATGAATACTTCAGAAAAAAAAATTGTATTCTTATATCATTAATGTATTTTCTTCATAAAATTAACGTTCACACATATCACTTTTAATGAATTATTCTCAACTAAAATCTCAAGAGAGTATTTTTGGACATAGAAAAATCATAATCTTTTAACATGACCGATATAACATTATAAGTCTATGAGATCTATTAGAGAATTAAGATCAATCGATAACTGATTAATAGTAAGGGTCAAAATAAATTTTTCAGTCAAAACCGATAGAAAAATTCAGATGTACAAAGAATTTAAACATCAGACACTCGTTGTATCATCACGAATAACCCACCCATTTATTCTATCAAAAGGTATGGAAAAAAGTTGATTATTATTCTAATACAAGTGAGTTGGAAGATGGACAAATCCCTGTGCACTGCACATGCATATATTTGAAAAAGAAAAGAAAAAAAAAGCAGTCCATTTTTTCTTCTCAGCATTTAATAATAATTTCCATGGCATCATAAGCTTTTAATTATTTGCACCCATGGTGGTTGAGCTCTCTTTTAACTTTGCCTTCAAAAGACTCATCTGGTTCAAGTCATTGTAAAAGAAACGCAGTTTGTAAAGGCATGAGTTGAACATCAAGATTTCCCAAATTTTGATTCTGTATAACAAACAAAATCCGAATAAATTACAATGAGATGTAAGAAACAAATATTATGATCAAGGAAGGGTGTTAATCCAACTGAAACTTGCTGCATGAACAACTGTTTGAAACCAATGTGGGATCCCCTGGAACACAAGATCTGTGAATTTGCCTTTCTTTGGATCATAAGAAACTAGAACCCTGTTCTTGTACTCCAACAGGATTTCGCCATTCTCCGAAACGGAAAGAACTCGGACCAGTTTACCACTCGAATTGTTCTTCCAGATCTTCAATGGCCTATTATCTTGATCCAAATTTTGTTTCAAACATTTCGGCATATAAGCTCCAATGCTAAACTCTTTAGTCCAAGACTCCTTCACATTATAATCTTTCATTACCCATATCTCCAGTTTCCCATAATTCCCATAAACAGCTGCTGCGAGACAACCTCTTAGAACAGACACATGGAAGTTGCATCTGTTTAGCCCACCACAATCAGGTTTCGGGACCTCCTCGAATTCTTCGGTCCGTATGTCGAACGACATAATGCACCGAGCCGGGTGATATCTGCGTGGCCTACTCACCCAATGAAGCCTTCCGCTAACCAAAGCCTCCGACGATCGCCTTACGAGCTGGTAAGGTATTTTTCCTAGGCTCCTCCAGGCAGATGATCCCAGAGTGAAAACCTGAACGTCCGAATGCCGGTACACGACTCGCCGGGCACGACTGTAGCTACTACTACTACTACTACTTGTGTTCCTATAATAAACTATCATAACTACCTTGTATTCCTCGGTTTTCGGATGGAATCCGAATCCGAACACTACTTCCTGGTCCGGATACCGTCGAGATTTGGGCAGCTCGATGTAATCCATGGTGAAAGGGTTGTAAACATAAAGAGCATCGTTGTATAAAGAATCAGACAAACATAATAAACCATTACATGATCCAACTACATCAAATTCAGGCATGGATGTCTGGAAAGGCACATATAATCTTTTTACCTTGTCTTTCTCTTGGTTGTTCGGTGATAAATCAACAAAATACAGGTGGTTTTTGATCGGAAAATCGCAGTGAAGTATGAGGCATGTATTTCCTGTGCGAGTTCTGCACATATCTGCAGCAAGAACAGGATCCTGAGCTAAAGCACGCCACCCCTTGCATACGAACTTGAATTGCACCAGAGACGTGATCGGCAGCCTCGAGAGTACGTCGACGACGATTTCACCGGGAAGGGTCTCCATCCCGGTTGCCGTCTGCCGATGATCATCTTCGAATTCGAGTTCGAGCTTGGTTTTTCGTCTTTTCGCTAGCCTCCCATCGTCTAAATCCATGGCTAACAAAAGATTTAGAACACACATGGATTATAAATGGTGGGGTTTTAAGAGAGATGATCGAAAAGGAAGGTTGAAGATAAACATGGTAGACTTTTATAAGATGGTATGAATATTATTATAGAAAAGGAGAGACGGAAACCACAAGGAATTGAATCAGTGTTTGTATAGAAACCATCATTCCCTTGCCATATACAATGGTCTGATTTTTTTATTTTTTTCTTTTCCCTTTGATTAATGGGACAAAGGTATATGGAAATTGACGGACATAAGAATTTGGACCGTCTGATTGAGCATATGGATTGATGAAATGTGAATGTAGACCAAGGCAAATTTTATGAATCAATTCCATGGCTGATGGCTATGCCAATGATGGACCTACTGATAGTGACTTTGCAACATTCAGTCTTCAATATCCACAGCAAATTATCGAGTAAAAAACCAAATTTATATGTATTCTCTTGCCTTCTTCTTCAAAGGACACGTGGGTTTAGTTTGATTAGCTTTTGATTTAGTATAATTATATTTGAATACCAAATTCTTTTTTTTTTAAATTAAAAAAATAATTGAATGATAAAACAAAGGATTGATTGAAAAATAAGTACTTAAATAAAAAGTAGGTTGTAAAAGTCATCCCATAGTAGGCTTTTATAATATTTAATTTAGATTATTTATCCTTTAACAAACATGTTTATATAAAAACTTAAAACTAATTGTGTTAGTTCGTCGATCAATGGAAATAGTAAACAAATAATGAATTTACCAAAAATGTCAATTCTTTTAGCATGATCCCTATATTTTACAGACAAATTCTTTACTACTCACCCAGTGGTCATTCATAAATAAACTCTGAAAATACATTTTCAAAATAAAATAATCTTTTATATGCATTTGTTTATATCCTACCAAAAATGCCACGAGCCTGGATACTTACACTTTAATCCTGCCGTCTCTTACAAAGCCAAGAGATTTAAATAACAGTCCGCTATCGCAATAGCATCTGCTATATAACAGAAGCGGTGCTGTCTGCTATCGCAATAGCGTCTGAAACTGATATTGCATGACCGCAATACCCGTAATCACCATAATAGTGTATGCTATGTCCGCTGTCGTGATAAACACAGCACAATCACAACCGTAATTTAAATCCCTGATCAACAAGTAAGCTGATTTCAACCCTGTAATGGCCGCTGAGGAAGATAAAGCACCAATCTCAAACAGGGAGCACAAGCCATTAGAATGATAGAATGTAATATGGCTGATTCAAAGGCTTCAAGAGCAATTCTTATAAAATAAAGATACAGGTATAACTCATAAGTTTATTAGTAATATAACACAAGTTCAGCTACAAGGAGAAAAAAACCCACAGAAAACCGCAGTTTTTCTTTGTTAATTTACTACCTTAGATACTAACTAACCAGACTGCCAACATGAACAACCATTTTAGACCAGCTCGACAATCCTTCAAGCACGAGATCCTCGATTTTATCATGAACTGGATCATAGAGAACGAGGGATTTGCTTCTACGTTCGAGTAAGATCTTCCCACTTCTGAAACTGCATACAGCTCGAAATTCTGATCTAAAGGCAGGGATATTATGTATCTCCTCTGGCAGGGAGCCTCGAATGTGAAATTCTTGGACCCAAGACTCTTTGACATTATATTCCTTCATAACCCAGATGTCTAATCCCCACCTAGCATTAGAAACGGCAGCACAAAGATAGCCTCGGAGAACCACTAGTTAATAAACCTGCCCGTTTAAGGTCCCATAATCAGGTTGAGGCACCTCCTGGAATTGCTCAGCTGTTAGATCGAATGATATGATCCGGTTGTTCTTACTGATTGTTCCAGGTTGAGTGATCCAATGAAGTCTACCGCTGACTGCAACTTGCAACGGTGGTCGAACGAATTTGTACAACACCATCCCTAAACTTCTCCACTGGGAGCCACCAAGTGTTAGAATTCAAACCCATGATTGAGATGAATTTGATGCTGGAAGATGGGGTTCGAATCTAAACCTTCTTCTTTGATAAACAATCTCAACCAATTTATATTCCTTTTTGATTGGACTAAAATACCCAATTCTCCAAGATCCCTTGATAACTTCAGCAGATCTACTGAGCCCCCGGTTAAAGGATTGCAAATGTGGATTTGTGAAGCATTGTCGAAGCACAGCAGGCCATTTGATGAACCAACCAAATTAGCATAGTCTTGTTTCCTGGTGAATATGGATTTGCGGATTGCAAATACCGATTTGTGCAGTATTGTTGACACAGGGATTTTCTTTATGCTCTTGTTTCCTTCACCGCAAGCATCAAAATCTACCAAGTAGTATTGGTGGTGGATTGGGTGAATGACTTTGAAAGATGATGCAGGGATCATTCTCGGCCATATGTAAAAAATGCTTGTTAGCAAGTAGTGAGCATCCTATTATGCTTCGCCAGGACCGGCATACAGACTTTGATTGCACCAAAGTTGTTATAGGAAGTCTTGATAGTATTTCAAGGACGACATCGGAAGACACTCCATCGTTCTAGTTGCTCCGCATTACAAATCTGTTCCTTCTTTTAAAAATACTTTTAAGGAAGTACATTAATAGGTATAGATTCAGCATGTATAATATGTGCAAACGGCTTGATGATGCAAAGAAGGATGCACTTAAACGAAATGCACTTGACATCAACATATCGATTAAAATGAGAAACACAACGACAAAATAAACAAAAAATTAACTGAGTCAAACAAACTAATCAATGATCAGTCATTAATGCTGTCGCTTGCACTAAAAACGAATCATTTGGCCGCTAACTTAAATAACTAGGATCATCTGCTGATTCATATGAATTTCTTACCAATAATTGCAGTTCATCAGTACTCAATATATGTTGTATCCCGACATCCAACAATGTTTATATTCATATACAATATGTTTAAATCCTACATACTCTGGAGTGTCGGATACACGATTTAACACACAGATAACAATCTCCAGGAGCAGTGAGTAATATGAAACACTAATTACTAGAATTTAATGCATGTAATTGCAGTATTTTGGTTTCAACCCATAGAAAACATAACAGATTTGTCCCAGACCATGAGAAAATTCAAGGTTTCAATTCACCAAGTTTTGAAGATCTAATTAAAAATGCCTTCCGACTGATTATTAAATCAGAAAATTATGACCAAGCGGTTCATCTGCATGTTTTGGCGGTTCAAACCCAGTTACTAGGTTTTGATGATCCATCTGAAAGTTCAGTTTATATTCTAAACCCAGTTCTAGCTTACAGACAAAAACAAAAAGAATTGTTTCCAAACAATTTTCCAACCATAAACAAGAAGGTAAAATCAAATAAACAACATCGTAAAGATGAGTCAGAATGAAGGAAAATCAATTTGATAAAAGATACCTATTTGGAGAAAGCAAGTACACCCCACGATCGGAACAAGGCAAAGAAAACCGACATGAATTAAGCTGTCCTTGGGAAAGTTGATTCCTTCATTTGTCTTTGTTTTCTAACCGCTGTTGGCTTGTTGCTTTTTATTTTATTTTAGAGAAAATAACCCCAGTGACCAAAAATCCCATATAATATACGATTTTAACCAATTTTTTTTGGATTTGTCAAAATGACCAACAAAATCGCAATGCGATCGCTAATTCGCAACGCGATCTCCATTATCGCAAATTCGCGTTGCATTTTCGCAATACGATAGTTGAAAATCGCGTTGCGATGGTCTACAGTATCGTTGCGATTTTCCCAATTCGCAATGCGAATAAGTAAATCGCAACGCGAATTGGGAAAATCGCAATGCGATACTTACTATCGCAATGCGATAATACAAAATCGCAACGAGATACTTACTTTCGCAACGCGATACTGACTTTCGCAACGCGATTTACATAGCGCCATTCGTATTAACGCGTATTTTTTTTTCAAATTCCAAACACGTATTTTTTCTTAATAAATCAGAAAATGAACCGTCCACAGTAATCGCAACTCATAACCTCAAACCCAAAAACACAACACTCAGTCCCATCTCCATCTCTCACTCTCTACGGCGAAATCCGTACCCATCTCCGAAGATTTCCGTCCCCATCGCCGGTGAAATCCCTCACAACCATTCACAGTCAAAAATCCCTCACAATCATTCAGAAATGGAAAATCAACCTACGAGGGTTACTTTTTTTTTATTTTTATTTTGAAATTTTTGCATTATTTTAGGTTTTTCATATTGAGATTGATGATAAGTTTACTGGTAATTTCAATAATAGATTAACCAGTTCACTTAGATTTCTTATTAAATTCATTCGATTGCTGCCAATACTGCTAAACTGTTTAGCCTGTGAAGTTAGTATTTGTCTTTGCTTTGTCTTTTGGTTGAAGTAATGCAGAAGAAGAATAGTTTCGAGAATGAAAATCGCAACGCGGAAATAACTATCGCAACGAGATAATCGCAACGCGAAATAAAAATCGCAACGCGAAACCAAAATCGCATTGCGATTTTCATTTCGCGTTGCGATTGTCTGGTCGCGATAGTCATTTCGCGTTGCGATTCTCTCGTTGCGATAGTCATTTCCGCGTTGCGATTCTCATTATCTCGTTGCGATTTTCATTTCAACCAAAAGACAAAAACAGTGTTGCAAATTTAGTTTCAAGAATAAACTACTATTTATGTTTATTGTTTTGTTTTTGGTATATCTTGACAGTGTAATTTTTGGTATATCTAACTTGGTATGTTTATTGTTTTTTTGTAGAAATTTTTTCGGCTTCATTGACATTAAGGAATAAAGTTAGCCTAGCCACTACAATTGCTTCGAAGCTTTCACCTGCACAAAGAAAATTGTTTGAAGAAACCTGCTTCGGGCCATGGCTGAGAGTACAACATCCGGGTGGAGATGCTAGTTTGACCCATTTGTGGCTTCAGACCATGACTAGCGATCTACCCGACAGTATACAACGTGGTGAGGAAGAGATATGGTTTCATTTTCCACCGGCGTATACTTGTTTTGGGCGGAAGGAGTTCTGCTTAATCACTGGTCTACGATTCAGACACGATGATGTAGGCCGGTACACTCGTCATATCACCCGCCCATCATGGTTATCCAGGGTTTTTCCTGATGAGTCAATAGAGAAGCCGAACTTACACGTCGACGACATGAAGAAATTGT